CAAATTTCATGAATATCCCTCTACTTTTTCATCCAAATTGTAAATAAAAAGGTTAAATATACTAGGCTGAGCACTAGCTTCTATGCTATTCCACTTGATATCTTTATTCAATTTGATGAGGAACCATTCAAGAAAACTCAGACCAGCAATGAATCAACTTAACATATATGCCATCTTTCCATCCATAATTAGTTTATTACAATATCATAGGTACAAAGTTGATATATTATATTCCCAGCATTTTCACAAACTGAAAACAAATCTCTATCTTAACTAAAACTACATTTAATTACAGAAAAAAAATCTAATTCATTTCCCCTATTTGTACGTTACTATTTTATAACATTAACTTATAAAAGGGAACCTCTGAAATCTGTAACTATTTTACATACCAATGCATATTTTCATGTCAACAGAAGCCATGAATCCATCATAACAAAGACAACGATATTCTCCTGGAATGTTAATGCACTGTCCACCATCACAGATATCTGGGTTACTGTCACATTCATCAATATCTGAAAAAACAACTCAGTATCATCACATTTGATCTTTCATTTGCCTAATAAATTTGATAGTCTTTTTCACAGTAATAAAATTGAACAAAAAAGTTCAGATACATCATTATATCAACTATGAGATACTCATCGGGGCACACATTTTTTTTCAGCGTAATGGTAGAATGTCAACATTTTGTAGTCTTTACCTGTATTAAAGTGCTCCAAATTCCCTTGTTTCCAGGCATATTTGATTTCCTCAACTTGCTGCCTCGCCTACATTTCTGCATAGTGACTTTGCCATAGGATTTACTTATTCCCTTGGACTACTGTAAAATTCTTACTTGCCATCATCTCTATTTTATTCTAATATGATCTGAAATCCTTTGCCCAGATCTTGCTATGCTAACCTGGAGTGATTCTTACACTGTAAAAATACTTCCCTTGTTCCTTTTATGAAGCAATCACTAATCCAGAAGAACCATGCCAAAATCCTACCTTTCTATATATATATATTTATGTTATGTACATGTGATTTTGATAAAAGCAGCTGAAGTATGCACTTAACCAATGGCCTATTTTCATTATTGACTTGATTTTCCCTGATATTTCAGTACATTTTTCTGATTCCCTTATGAGTATCTTGTTGAAAATGAATAGTTCTATTGCTCAGACTGAAATTTGTGAGGAAACTATTACCTTAGATATTAAGCAAATTTTCCTTTTCAGAAGTTTAAAATCTTTCCTAATTTACAGGTTTTAAGAGAAAGAAAGATAGAAAGAAAGAGATCTATTCATGTTTTTTTAAAGCACCATTTGATGCTATACATACGAGTCTTGGACTTGTAAAGATTGTATTTCCTTTCTGTATTTTTATTTTTTTAACCTGACATTTGGTGTATGTAGACTTATACTGCTCCTTTGTTGTACTTTACTGGAACCATGTATTTGTTAAAATCATAATTCAAACTAATTTTACTGTTGAAGCTAAAATCCTAGTGTACCAGCCTAAAGGCAAATAAGGAATTTACTGAAAGAATCGGGCTGCACATCAAGGTTATACTTGATGATAGAATATATAAGCTTAATATCAATCTAATAAATGACCATTATTTATTTGATTTATACTTCCATTTTTCAATTAGGTGCTCAAGCTAATGCATATAGCATTCCCTCCTCCAATTTTCCTCCGGAACAATTGCCTTGTGAGGTAGTTGGGCTGTAAGAGAGTGATTCACTGAAGTTCTACAATTTAGGGGGGGTTAGAACCTGCATCTACCCATTCCTAGTCCAGTATCTTTACAACTGCATCACCCTGGCTCTAACTTTGATCGTTCACGATTCGTTCTCTAAGCCTCTTTATTATAGAACTCTATTGACATTTTCTCATTGTTTGGTGGATGCAGTATAAGAAATAAAGGTAAATTTCATTATCTTACCTGCGCAACTCCTCATATCTGGCATTAGAGCATATCCATCACTGCAACTACATTCATAGCTGCCTTCTGAATTACTGCAGTGAGTGTCACAGCCTCCGTTCATAATCATGCACTCATCAATATCTAGGAGAATATATTTGGGACAGATGAGATAGGTATCTTATAAAGCATCACTTTTTTTGTTTCTAATAGCTGCATTTTTATTCCCCAATTTTCACATTTCTTCCCTATCTCTATCAACAGAAGAAAGTAAGCACTTTTAGGAGTCAATTCTGTCAATATTTTGTGATATAACTTATCAAACAAAACTAAAATTAGAATGTAAAATATAGCTAAATTAACAAAAGTAACAGTGCAATTTTTTTACTGAGGTGTACTCAGGGTGGGACACCCTTATAGATCTGGAAGCTACATCTTATTTTTTTTATGAAGTTGAAATTCTGAAAAGAACACATTAAAAAAAGTATTATAAAACTGACAGGTGTTAAAATTTCTAGTACTCACCGATGCAGCCTTGCTTATCTGGAGTTGCCTGGTACCCAGGATTACAGGAACACTGATACATTCCAATCACATTCACACATTTCCCATTTCTACATAAGTTATTGCTAAGAGAACATTCATTGATATCTGAAAAAGAAAATTTGCTTGCTTCAGCTCTTGTCTATTTTCAGGGTTTCAATGGGCAAAAATCTAGCAATATCATGAAAGGGGGTTCTGATATGAAGTTAACCTTAAACTTTTCAACATCTAAGGGCCAATTCTTTTATGCTTTGTTATGAGAATGCTAATATTACAGCCATAGAAAAATAACAATCACATTATTGATATAATGCAAATTCCAGTCCCTATAGACATAAACATACGCACAGATACACAGACACTGCATTTTACAACATCCAACCATAGGAAAGCAATTAGTCAGTGGCAGATTCAGACTTGGAGTCTGTTTACTGTCTACTGAAAAAGACAGACATTTAGCATAGCAAAGATTTGCACAATCTATTTAATAGTTTAAATATTTTTTATTCCATCTTCTGTAACTCACGTTGGCTAAGAAAACCAGAAAATAATAAACAAACAGCACTTCAAGAATATGAACGAAAATAAAAATCATCTTAAGCACTCACAAAAATAACAGAAGCAACAAGTACCTTTTTTCCAAATTAAACATGTGTTAAGATAATGAATGAAATAGAAAGCTGTACATTACTGTACCTTACTTCAATGTGAATTATCTTAAAAGTAAACTAATTATAGTTTTCAAAGTGGAGAAATCAGAACTTTTTTCATTTTGTTTGCTACCTACAACTACCTTTTTGTACATGGACAATAGATTTGTTTAATAAGTGAATGCCCCTTATTTGCAGTGTTGTCATCTTTAACAATGTTTATGGGATTATATACAGTGATACGCAAATTGTCCTTGGCTCCAATTAGTAAATGTTCACCCATATTGCAGGCTTTTCTAGCAAATGTTCAGAAAACAATGTCTGTTTTCCTTTTCCAATTCCCTCCCAATTTGAATATCTATCACCCTCCTTAATATGTCATCATTTTTAAAAATAAAATTGAGGCTAATCCTTGTATAAATTATCTTCTCAATCCAGTGATAAGAACCCTACCTCCATGTTCTAATTAAAGTCACACTGTTTGTTAATGTCTGCTCAATAAAAAATAAACAAACTGACACTAAATTCCTGTTTATGTTGGGAAACTTAATGATTTTGGTCAGAGAATTTCAGGGTCTTCTAGTACTAGTTGCACACTATTTCTTAGAAATTTGAAAAATACTTATGCAGTTAGTTTTGCACATATCTGACATAGCTATTATCCAGCCTTTCCATAGGGAAAAATGCAAGTGCTCCTTTATGTTTATTAATTTGTTGTTGTTGTTGTTAGTTGCGAAGTCATGTCTGACTCATTGTGACCCCATGGACAACGTTCCTCCAGGTTTCCTGTCCTCTACCATCTTCTGGAGTCCATTTAAGCTCACACCTACTGCTTCAGTGACTCCATCCAGCCAACTTATTCTTTGTCTTCCCCTTCTTCTATTGCCCTCAATCTTTCCCAGCATTAGGTTCTTCACCAGTGAGTCCTTCCTTCTCATTAGGTGGCCAAAGTACTTGAGTTTCAACTTCAGGATCTGGCTTTCTAAAGAGCAGTCAGGGTTGATCTCCTCTAGGACTGACCGGTTTGATCGTCTTGCAGTCCAGGGGACTCGCAGGAGTCTTCTCCAGCACCATAGTTCAAAGGCCTCAATTCTTTTGTACTCAGCCTTTCTTATGGTCCAACTTTCACAGCCATACATTACAACTATGGCCTTGACTATACGTACTTTTGTTGGCAGGGTGATGTCTCTGCTTTTTAGTATGCTGTCTAGATTTGCCATAGCTTTTCTCCCCAGGAGCAAGCGTCTTTTAATTTCTTGGCTGCAGTCCCATCTGTGGTGATCTTGGAGCCCAGGAAGATAAAATCTGTCACTACCTCCATTTTTTCCCCATCTATTTGCCAGGAATTGAGAGGGCCGGATGCCATGATCTTGACAATGTTAGCAAACATTAACTAAGTATTAATAGCTTAATGTTAACAAAATTCACATGTATCTTCAAGGCTGATTATTCAGAGTGATTTCTCAGTAAATGTGAAGAATTTCATATATCTAATTCAAAAAGTGAAAGGAAGAGAAAGGGAAAGCTGTAACAGATATCAATGAAAGTGGTCTGATCTTGCATAATTAAAGTACTGAATACAGACCTGAGTTTCATTATAATGAAATGGTTAAAACCATGAAAAATATGCTTGATATTATTTTTGTTTTGGATTAATATAAAAGCAGGAAGTCATACATTTGTGACAGTTACAAGTTGTTCACCACAGAAAGGTGCTAATGGAAATAGGAAGGATGAGTTTGGTGAAAAAAGTTGTGTAACATTCTGAACAAATGCAGTTTCAGAGACAAGTTATTATTTGGGGGGGGCATAAATAGATAGGTAGACATAAGAGAAGAGAGTAGACAAAAGGTGACAAGGCCATTCGGTAAAGTAGGAAGAGAATAGCTGCATATGATTTTTTTGGGGGGGTGTCACAGATCTGGGAGGAAAGGGAGCTTAGAATGAGTTGGCATTTTTTTTCAGAATTATTCTGTACATCCCAACCATGACTTTTGTGCATTTTATCTTACTTTTGCTGTTTCTCCCACCACATTAAATTTGTTCGTGTTCTGTTCTATTTTCAGTTATCCCATTGACAAAGAAGCTACAATAGATAAACAGGTAGACAGAAATCTGATATCCTTTATGTATTACTGTCTGAGAATAAGATGATGAGAACTGATGTAAAAATGTTGTAAGTGTAGTTGGCATAACTCTAGAGGTGCTAAAATATGAGTGCAGTTTGTTTATGCAATGACTATAACAATGCATTTCTTTTTGAGGATGCATCCTGATTGATGATGGAACAAAGATTTAGAAGGAAAACTTAGGAATGAATGTAAAAACTACATGTTATATTTTTAATTGTAACTGGAAAGAAGTTGGGACAGAACTGTGATTAAATATACAAGGAATGATCAGACTAAACTTTGGAATTGCAATGAACCACTATACTGGGCAGATGTACTGTATATGTATATGATTGTGCTTTTCAGCAGGTCATTGTAAAATGTTTGTATAAATACAATTATACACAACTGATTTAGGAAAATTATCATGAATTATTTAAGAAAAAAAATAATTATATTTTTCTAGATTTAAGACAGGATGAAAAGCCCAAATTATAGAACAATGTGGAGCTGAAGGTTGGTTAATGAATGGGGTAAAAGCAGTACAATATGAAAGTAAAGAATGTATGAGAGTAAATGGAATGCTTATCTCAAAGGTGCTTTTCAAAAAGCAACTGGACTGTTTTTTCCTTGAGGAGGAGGAAGAAGACATTTCCCTTCTCATCCAATAAGCTTCATCAGTTGTAACTGGATGGTGGGTTTAACAACTACTGCTGGCGTAAATTACACTGAACTATAATCACAAAACAAATGTACTAAAGAAAAGCAAATGAGTTAAGAATTACTAACTCTTAACTCATTCACTTTTCTTTATATCTTCTTCTTATACATAAATAAAAATGTAAATGTTCGTTTGTTCAAAATCTTAAATCTCCGAAAGTTCTTCACCGATTGCTTTGAAATTTTGACACAACATTGCATTCGAATATGCGCATGTTTTTATATACCTATGTTATATAGATGTCACACCTGTGACAGGTAAAACATGCTTTTTTTGAAAAACAGCACCATCTGTTGGACATATATTGTATACCCACAAGCATTGTGAAATTAAACATATTACAAACGTGCGCTTTCTCTTTTCTTTCTTTTCCATTTAACCAGACTGAGTCACAGCAACGCGTGGCCGGGTACAGCTAGTTTATTATAAATATATTAGCCGTGATGGCACAATGGTTAGAATGCAGTATTGCAGGCTAATTCCGCAATACCGCTCGAGTCTCACCGGCTGAATGTTGACTCAGCCTTCCATCCTTCTAAGGCTGGTAAAATGAGGACCCAGATTGTTGGGGACAATATGCTGACTCTGTAAACTGCTTAGAGAGGGCTGTAAAGCACTGTGAAGCAATATATAAGTCTAAGTGCTTTGGTATTTTATATATAGATTATATACTGCTTCACAGTGCTTTACAGTTCTCTCTCAGTGGTGGATTTGGTGGAAGCATTAAGGATAGAAAAGCATTGAAAATTATAGTGAATGATGTTAGTGTAAGTTAGATTTAGTTAATTTTCTTTTCTTTTATATCTTGCTTTTCTTTTCTTTTCTTTTCTTTTGTTTATTTGTTTCTTCTGTTCTGAAATTTTCGTAACACTGCTTTCCCTAAAAGGAAACAATATGACGGGTATATAGGTAATCCAAATGGTCCAGGCAAAACAATTTTTAATGCATTAGTGGACAAATTTATATTATGCTATTGCAACATCATAGGTTATTTATTCACAAAATAATGTATTCATAAATGCA